AAAAAATACCACTACTTCTATAATAATTACAATTTTTGAAAAATCCTAAGCTACATTGCAGGCGATACATTTCTACCCGTAAATCAAAAAGAATTCTTTATTCCAGACGTTCCAATTTTTCCCAGCGATGGCCGCCAGCAATCTACAATCTAGCAGAAGAGGATTCGCGATAACTCCTCCATTTTGTAACATTTTTACTTTCTAAAAGTTCGAGAGAAAAGCTGAAACTTACATTTATAACCTCTAAAAAATTTCGAATTTTTCACTTAATAGTTACCTATAAAAAAAATTCTCAAACTTTCCTTATTTTCAGTCGTCTCAGGGTAGTTCGCCCGTTTCATGGAAAATTTCTGAATTTACCTGATAATTTTCGGTAAAAATTGTTTCACTATCGCTAGTACAGTGCAACAGAAAATTCCACCTAAATGAAATATCAATCATTCAGTAGTGCATTTTACAATTACACTTTTCCATCCAAGTTCTCTACTTTGCGTTCTCACGACAAAGATCGAATTGTGGTTGAAACTTTCGTTGTACGATCAGAGATGACCGCAGTCAGACCTACATAAATCATGCACTGCATACATTATTTTGCGTTGTTATTATCGCATAGTTCATGCTAGCTACTGACAACAGAGCATGTCTATTATGTTACGTAATCGTACAAGGTAGATGGACAATGCGAATTTCCCATTTGGATGCAAAGACAAGTACATACATGTATACAAATTATTAAGTACATGAACTCGTGTTGCGCCAGTGTAACGAGGAGACACGAGAACGTTGCGTTTTACCAACTGCTTTGTGGACATTTTTATACTTACGTTACAAACATTTTCGTTTGTAAAATGAATTCTAACGGGAATTAATTCGAACTTGTTATTTCAATTCAATTTCACGGGGGAAATTGAAACAGCGCTAAGTTACGATTAATCGCGACGGGAGAAAAAAAAAAACAGCGATTTTTCACGACGAAGAGTAAATAATTATTCCTTATAACATTTGAATAATGCAAAAATCTTGTAGCAAGTATTAGATCGTATTTATCGGAATTTTATTTTCGTATTCGTGAAAGATACATTCAGTTTGCTGGTTAACGAACGTGCATAAATATGAACTGCTACAAATTTCGAACCAAATAGATTTTCCTGCGTAAAAACGTATTCATATTCTTGATAATTATTCGTTAATGTAGAATAGTCACTTATACAGAATCGATCGAAAGAATCAGGCGCGCGGTAAAGTACGAATTATTTAGAAATATTTTTTTATTAGGAGGAAGTCAAATTGTCGAAATGAGAAAACGATCATTTTTCTAAATTTTGTTTCTACCGACTTTTACCCTATTTCAAAGAAAAATAGAATTGACACATTGACACATTTTTTGGCACATTTCAAGGGAAACCTAACTTTCAAAATATTACCAGCAACGCGTGTCAGCGGCAAGTGCTAACAGCAGACTTTTCAGGAAGAAACACAAAATCTAGGCTATAGTTAGCTGTTTCACGACCCACTATAAACCTTGTTAGCTGTTTCAAATTTCCTTTGAACTGGCCGACAAAGGACGATGAACAATAGGAAGGTTTCAGAGAAGTATGTAGTTTTCGCAGTAAGTCGCAATAATAATTAAATCGCTGAAGTTAACTTTGAAAATTAACTCACAAAGGAACTACAATAAAAATCTTTGGAAATATATATTAAAAGGGGGAAATCGCCTTTCGTTGTGAATGCGACTTACTTCATACTTTACGCACTGCGATTCTAAATTCCGTTGAACAAAAATACTTCGCTCGATACTAATGAAATGGAAAATATTTCAACTTAAGAATCTTGAAAAATTCAAACTTAATGTAACATCTAGAAAAGAAAAAAAAAGGAAGCTACTGTTAATTATTTCAGTGAAAATGTCCAAAAAGCCAGGCTCCTCGAGTTGCGAATGTAAAAGAGCGGAAATAATTCGCGTCGTGAGTCACGGAAACAGCATTTGGCCAATACTCCAAACACAATTTCCTTCCGGAAGTTAGTCGGTGTTAATTAAATTCGCGGTGTCGTAAAGTTCGAACTGTAAAGAACATCCCTGATTAAACAGAGGCTCGCGAGAGGACCATTTGTGTCCTAGAACGGCGCAGCACGGGTCTCGTTTTCAGTAGTGTCTCACTAACACAGAAAAACTGATTCGTTTCTGCTCTACTTTTTTAATTTGGACTTGCTAAACAAAACACAGACAGTAATCGGGTGGTCGAGCTGGAGGAACGCGAACAGTAAGTACGAAACGCAGCGCATCTAACACTTTTCGCTTCTCTTTTTTCACTCTTTCTCCAGTTGTTTTTCTTTCTCCCTTTCCCCCCTCTTTTTTACTTTCTTCTTCTTCTTCTTAGTCTTCTTCTTGATCCTTGTCGCCGCTATTGTCCCGTGTTTTTCTCTTTTGCTTAACGTCCCCTACTTTTTTTTTTCGTTGCACACCAACGCTCTCTCTTATTTCGAGAGGTTAGCCTAATATCCGGCCGCTTGATGCTCGCTTCAGTGTGGCCACACGATATTACCGGGACGTGCGCTTCCGCTTTTCACCGGGCAAGACAACGTATTTTTCGCTTTATGAAACAGCTGCATGCGCAACGCCACGTTAATAATTCGGTAGAATTTTCGGCACTCTGGTACCCCACGGCGCATGCACACACACACACACACACACGCTACACTGACACGCGCATACACACGTGTACACGTGTATGTATATACAGATACACATTGTAGGTTATAGGGCTATGTGTATATATTATAGCGTATCCAGGACTCGGCAGTTACCCAGGATACTAACTCGCCGTAGGTAAATCTCGTTATACGATTGATCGATGGAATTATCGGTTTCGCATATCGTCGGTTTAGCAGGCGACGACCAACTCTGAAGGGATCCTGTGAACTCTCGTTTCCATGAAGTGGAAGGATGTTTTTTTACGGTTGGGATTATGGTAGAGTGGTGGGAGTAATAAATACCCTTCTTTCTTTCTTTTTTTTTCTTTTCTTTTGAGGAATTAAAGAATTGTAGGTGTATGTGCCATTTTGTTTAATGGCACGTTAAAGGGAAAGATTGATATGAAGAAATAAACTGATAATAGAGCGGTAGGAGTAATAAGTACCCTTCTTATTTCTTTTTTTCTTTTGAGGAATTAAAGAATTGCAAGTGTATGTGCCATTTTGTTTAATGGCACCTAAAATGGAAAGATTGATATGAAGAAATAAACTGATAATAGAGTGGTAGGAGTAATAAGTACCCTTCTTATTTCTTTTTTTCTTTTGAGGATTTAAAGAATTGCAAGTGTATGTGCCATTTTGTTTAATGGCACCTAAAATGGAAAAATTGATATGAAGAAATGAATTGAAAATAGAGTGGTAGGAGTAATAAGTACCCTTCTTATTTCTTTTTTTCTTTTGAGGAATTAAAGAATTGCAAGTGTATGTGCCATTTTGTTTAATGGCACCTAAAATGGAAAGAAATGAATTGAAAATAGAGAGGTAGGAGTAATAAATACTATTCTTCTTTTCTTTCCTTTTGAGGAATTAAAGGATTGCAAGTGTATGTGCCATTTTATTTAATGGCACCTAAAATGGAAAGAAATGAATTGAAAATAGAGAGGTGGGAGTAATAAATACTATTCTTCCTTTTTGACGAATTAAAGAATTGCAAATGTACGTGCCATTTTGTTTAATAATGGTAAATTTTGTTTAAAATTTGTCATAAATTGAAAATATGGAATAAAGTCTTGGAGTAGTTTTGGGTAGTGTAGGGTTTGGTTTTGGATGAATTTGATGACAATGTAAAGTAACTTTTCAAATTTACAAAATAAAGTAGCAAAATCTTCGTAACATAAAATTCGACAAAGTCGAGTATCACTCATACTACATATTTCCAGAGTAAACTGTAATAATAATAATAAAGCTTCGTATAAAAGACTGGTATTAGTACTCCATAATTACAACTACCCTCAAAAAAGACACTTAACTTCTTCCTTAGAACTTGAACCACATTCCGCCAAGCACATTAGAGAAACAGATCCTCCTAGAATTTTTATAAAACACTATTAACCAGTGAGCCGCCGGTTCACCTACCACCGTTATTGTCCAAAATTAATCACGCATATCAAATTAACCCCCTCGAATCACTCTACACGTGGCACCAAACACACTTCCCTCCACACACGTGTGCACCGTGCACAATGCACCAGCTAAAGCTTCGAATCACTCGATGTATTTCTCTACCTGTTCAAGCCTTTCTGTACCGGTAAATGGAGTCTCACTATATACATATTAATCGTATCGTGGTTCTGAATGTACGTATTATCCGCACCATGACTTATCGACTTTATTGGTGTGCGTTAATGTAACAAGCGAGCCGCTGTGATATGTGTAGTGTGTACGAGATTGTCTCCGATCTCCAATCTCGCAGGAAGTCCTCTCTCCTCCTCTCTCCCTCTCTCGTAGCTCTCTATCTCACACTCTCTCTCTCACACACACACACACACACACTCACTCTCTCTCTCTCTCTCCCTTCCCCTCTTGTCTTCCTCTACGCCTGAATGCATGTCCTGTTGCATAATTTAGTGACCACTTCCGGCTTATAATAGTTTACTGTCGAAGTCTGCATAGGGGTAAGGCAGGTAAGGGTTGCACGTGCAAATGAATAGGGTGGCGAAGTTCTTTGTTATTCGAATGTAGCACTGTGCTGTTGTTGCATAATTTAAGAACGATTAGTTATACTAGCTCTGGTCCTTTTCTGTCTCTATTACTCTCTCTCTCTCTCGCTCTGTCTCTCTCTGTTACTCTGTTATAATAGCGTTCTATTCTACTCGGTCGAGAAGACACTTTCGGTGGTGAAAGGTAGGTGAAGGGTTGCATGCTCAATGAGTAGAAAGCTCTCTTATTGAGTTGGCTGTCGTTCAAATCGTGACCTGAAACGAAGAATCCTTTTGGTCAATTTTTTCCGACTCGCCGCCGTTCTGCACGCTTCTCACAACGCCCGGTGGAACATTTAACCCGTGTTTTCCGCGTTTCCCCTGGAATACCCCCGCGATATTTCTTCACGGTGTAAACAAACCGCGTATCGGAATTAATATATCACGACGTTAATTTCGGGGGAATTTCAGTCGACTACCTTCGGTGCAATTATGAAAGAAAATGTAAACACTTGATTACTCGCAGTTTCGCGTTCGAAGGTAAATAACTGTTTCTGTTTGTGGTAGAGAATGAAGGGAAGAAATGCATCGTTACGCGATACATTGCTGTTTAAAAGTTCGCGTAACGTATTGATGTTGCCTTGTTATTTCGAGTAAATAGTAGAAGAAAGGACGATTCGTATTTCAACGAGCTACTATCACTGTAGACGACGTTGGAGTAATAAATTTGCCGAAGTGATAGAAAAAAGAAGAACGAACGAAACGGTTATTCTTGAAATTCGCGATACAATCGCCACCGTTTCCTTTTATTTCCATTATATCCCCTATCGAGCTCGATATTCGGTGTGTACCTCTCTACCAGAAACAGTGACAAATTAAAAAGGATGGACTGGCGTTTCGTGGCGCGACATTTTTGATGAATTACCGGCGTTCACGTCTATCCTATGCATATGCAGTTCGTTACCGCGCGAGGGGGAAAAGCCGAATTTTATTATCGAACCATCATGATACCATGACTTTTGCATTTTCACTCGCTGCACTTATCGTCCACCGTATCGCCTGTATTTCTTTCTTTTTTTTTCCTCTTATCTCCAAGACCCCTTCAAAATCTCGTCGAATTTGCATTTCCAACCGTTCCAAGCTCGATAATTTTTGTTTACGAAAAAATGAAATCGAACAGGAGCATTTGCCGAGAAAAGTTCTTTCGAACTTTTCATTGGTTTAAAGGGAAGAAAATTTACCCCGGTGGATCGATTACAGAATCTTTCAGCAGCAACCGGGGGTAGTCTTTTGCCTGGCAAGATCGGACACAATGGGAATGAAAAAAATATTTGGGAAATACTTGAAACCGGGTCGAGCGATCGGGCGAAAGTTTAATTAAAAAGTTGAAAGAGAGCGGCCGCGCTGACGGCGCGTAACGTTCGATAGATGACTTTGTGCAAAGCAGAGCGAAAGCAATCAAAAGGATTCTTCGTTCGTTTCATTGTTATCTTGGAAAGTAACCTTTTTAAGTGCTGTGTCCATATTGTCGCTGGCTGCCGCGCGTAATTCGAGTGTCTCAGAAATTGTTCGCGAACAAATGTCTGATCAGCAGGAGGTATCCAACGTCCCGCTTGTCCTTTTCTAGCTTCGTCCGATCATACGTGTGCTGTATCCCTTGCCACGCGACTGGTGAACACGTGCTCGAGGACACTTTGAAATCATTT